GGAAGGGAAAGAGAGGGGGTGGGGGGGGGGTCACACCTTGAGATGGATTAGATCACTCAGAAAGAATAACTTCATCTTACAAGTGTATCAAATAAATTAGATCACCAAAATGTACATTTTATTCAGTAATTCAATTTGACACTTCAGCCGACTTTCTGCATGTAGGAGGTCTTCCTGAATGCTACATTACATCTTCTTTGTGAGAAAAGCATCACTGTCTCGGTAATGTCTGAGTCCATGATTAAAGACCTCCACGGTGTCTTTAAAGACGATTTCATTTTAGAGCTGAATGCAAACTTTGGCAGAAACCAAAAAGGAATTGGTCTTGGTTGGGACTAAAGAAGTGCAGCAACAATATGCGCTCCTCCCCCCCAACATGTAGGAGGTCTGACGACGCACCGCTCCCCTCTGTGGGGAAAAACTCAACACCACCCTTCAGGTTTCATCTCGTCTTCCTCCTCCTCCACATGCAGTTTTGGTTCTACGATGCCCCTCCACTGCTTTGTATGCTCCGTGTTCAGTGACACCAACACTCTGCAGACGGAGTCGAAGGGAGCGACACTATGCATATATGGCCTCGGGGGTGCTGCACTCGTGTTCGAGAGTCACGTGGTTCAGGAAATGTTTTAAATATTCAAAACACAATAAAGTTGAAAGTTATCAAAGCTCACTGATCCACGACCAGATATTACAACGAACAGGGTAAATTCATAACTGCCTCCCTGCTCCCAGCGCCGTAATTCTGACCGTTTAACCGAGGAAGAGGGCAGCCAGAAGGAAAACTTTAAAGTGGAAATAGAAGGGGATTTGTTTTTCTTTAAAGGTCCGTTTTGCTAAGTTTTCAATAGCGAGAGGTTACCGGGTTTTCGAAAAGATGACGCTGATGCAGAACTGATTCGATTCAAAGTCTGAATCTTATTTGCCTCATCCATTATGAGACCACAGCGAGGATAAAATCACATTAATGAGACCGCGCACTAGAATACTTCCTGAGCGAATTTTGATAATCCAATTTTCTTTTGCATGAGTGATCTCTTGCGGAGAGACAGAATGTTGTTTTAAAGACAAAACTGGATTCAATCATTTGTCACGAGGCGATATAAAGTTGGACAACTCGCATGTATAATTGAAAGCAGAATGCGTCTTATAAGAATGGAAATATGAGACTAGGGTAGAAAATACGCTGCAAAGTCGCATAATACCCCAATACAACCTGTTTGGATCATTAAGCCGACACGTTACAACCACCAAGCTCAATGAATCACGACGGGATTTTATGTAACAAAGACAAAGTGAAACCAATTGCTTTAAAAGTCACTTAATTAGTAAATAGTAGAGGTGTGCCGATCAATCCCTTACATTTTGTTACAGTGAGTCTCGAGTTCAGGACGTAAAAACCTGCTTCTTTAAGTCAATATTCTTTATTCATGTGCCAGGAGTTACATGATTGCCACAGAAAAGAAGCTGTCTAGATGTTTTTAAATAACTGTTTATATTGTAAACCTTTACTTGAGCTGCTGGTAATTCAGATGTTGGAACCTCAAAGACCGAGATGTACACTTATTGTCTCTGATGAAAAGTCATGTAAATAAGGAAGAGTCCCAGTGATTAGAGCCTTAAAACAAAAAGAAATGAAGTATCAGTGATGCTCAGGGTCATATTTTGTGATGTTTTGTGAAGAAATCAGGTGTGGATTACTATCCAAACGTCCCTCTGCTCTGACGTTTTACCTCAAACCATCCTGGAGACGCCTCTAACCTGAGACTGGATGACACACAAACAGATTTCTTTGGGCCATTAAGGCAAACACTGCCAGCGGTGTTTACCCAACACTTGTCATCACCCTGAGGCTGTCATCCAGCAGTGAAAAATGACGGCGGCAGCAGCAGCCTGCTGCAAGGGGCATTTCTCAATGCCTCGGAAATGGGAAGTTCTGCATTTCCCGCCGTTTAGGACGGCAACGAACCCTGTGATCGTTCCAGACACTCAGGGTCAGCGGCGCTTTGAAGTATTCTGAAACATTTCGAGAAGAAATATTCTCCTGAAAATAAGAGGGTGGAGTCGTACGTCAGTACCAATGTCGTGCCAAACCAGCAACAATCTGGACACAGTTCTACAAACTCAACCGTGACGTTGTGCATCAGCGAAGCTTCGAGAACGTTTCGCCAGTCATTGCGTCTGAGCTGATTCAGACAGTCGTCAGGTGTTTTCCCCCTCAGGCCTTAAAAACAGCAGCTATCTGGACAATTGGCTGCTGCAGACTTTCAGGCCGATATGCAGCTGCCCATTCATCAGCAAAGTGACTGAAAAAGATGTTTCAGCAGTTAAATAGTTTCCTAACAATGACCAACCGCTTTGACGTCGTTCAGACTGATTTTTATGAAACATGGTGGAAAATCCTTTAAGTCGGGGCTGAAAACCCATTTGCGTAGCGATGCCTTTGATTAATAACAACTGTAACGTCATAAATTGAAGTCTGTTTTTTCACTTTTTTTTATTCTTCCACTGCAATGTAATGTTTTGCTTGCTTGTTGCTGTATTTTCTTTTTAATCTCATAAAGCACTTTGAATTGACCTGCTGAAACTTAATATACAGATTAAAACGCAATCCAAATGTTACACCCAGTAAACAGTTTAGAGTATAAAGCAGCAGCCTTTCCTCTGAGTGAGTTGACAGTGTCAAAAGTCAGAGTGCAAATTGTGCATCTAAATAAATTATTAGATTAAGCTGAATGCTGAAAATTGTAAAAACTATAAATCTTCCTCATTTAGTCACATCATAGATGGTGTGATCTCTAATCAGAAAAGAGAATCAGATCTTTGAGTCGTCCACCAGCTGGTCACTAATTCAATTCAAAAACACTTCATCGATCCCAAAGGGAAATCAAATTGTGTTGCAACTCATTTCATTAAAGAGTTGTTGCTGAAACACAACAATATTACAACCAATTTGAAGAAGTCTCCGACTGAAGACGCTCCGTTTTGCAATGACAGTCTCATGGAGAGGAGACGGTCAGAGTTGACCATAACTTTCTTATATTAAATTGAAGAAACTGTAAATTTAAAAATTACATTTTTTTTGTAGAGCTAGGCAGGAAAATTGTACACAATGTGGAGATCAATTAAAAGACAGACCAAAGATTTGATTTATTATTTTTGGGATCATATTGTGGTGAAGAATAAGAACAAAGGGGGGAAATGTAATGCTAAAATACACGCAAATCTCAGGATCGGGTCAATTTACAGCCCTGAGCGCCACACAGTGACCGCTGAGACAAGATGACGCTGGAGCAGACTTTCAGAGACGCTCTCCGAGTAAGAGGCCAGCAATCTACCACCGTGGCAGCCGTCTCCACGCTCCTTTTACTGTGCCTGAAGCAAGGAGAAGTCTCTAACAAGAAACCTTGGGTGCATCATTATCTATTCATCAACTTCAAGGTTGCAAGTGCAGAAAAGGGAGAAACTAAAGCCTCCTTCTAATGTGCCTGATCTTTTCAATTCCTGACACACTGATTGTAGAGATCTATCTCAGACATCTCTGAGCTTCCCCCATCACACACACACACACACACACACACACACTTCTATGCACACAACATACTTAGATGTGCCTGCATTCAGCCACACCGTGTAGTCAATCATTCAGAGATGCAGAGAGAGAAATACCGAGCAGAGGATGCATCATGTATACTTTATAAGTCCAGCTCTCGTGTCAGGCTGCAGTAGATCAATGCACACCTGATGTATTTCTGTCTCCTCCGTGATTCATCCTCGCGCTGGCGTGTGGTCATTTCAAATAAATCAGAAAACATCATCCGTCTTGTGGATCACAGATTTCAAAACCTCTTTCACTCTGATTAAGTCGTCCCTCAACGCTTCCCGTTGCGGCAAAAGATAAATCTGCACAACATTTCAACCCTTCGCGCTGCTGTTCAACACGTGAAGCCGCACCGACGGTACAGCCACTGATCGAACATCACGGGTGATTTATCAAAGCTAAATCTGATTCTAGGATCTTTAAGCAAGAAAATATGGAGGGAGAAAAAAAAAATCAAGCATCCCAAATAACAATATGGCTCAGAGTTTGCACCTGTAGTTTTTCTTGCCTGGAAAATAGAAGAAATGCAGATGACAAGCTGTCCCATCCCTGCCCAAATTGTTACCTAAACTGACTTCGACAGCCAGCTCAGAGACACAAAAGGAGGTAAATGCAACAAAGCTTTTGTACCCTTCAGCAGGTTAGCTCGTCCTAGAAACAACATTTCCTTCCAGGTGCACCAGGATGTCTAATATTTACCCATTTAAACAGGAGTTCATGTGGCATAAATGTGTGTTTTACGTAAATAAGGCTGCAGATGATCCCCGTCCCCGTGGCAACCACGAAGGCTCTGCTTTTGGTGAAATAAAATGAGATTAAATGCTTTAAGTTTTCTGCAATTAATTAACCTGAATGGAAATGTAAAACTCTAATCCTTAACATGAATTAAATAAAAGGAAGAAAATATATAATAAACTATGCAAATAATGAAAACATAATAGTTGCAATGAAATACACTGAACAGTCAAAGAAAAAAAAGAAAACGCGTTAATGTGCGTATACCTCAAAGTTTCTGCTGATTAAACTTATAAGGTCTTCTGGTTATTGTTTAATCTGCATCACCAGAACCAAAACATGGAAAAGCAGCATTCATGCTCCAAAAATCTGGAACAAACTTCCAGAAAACTACAAAACAACCGAAACGTTGACTTCCATTAAATCAAGGCTAAAACCCCCTGCTGTTCAGAGCTGCCTTTCATTAATAACAACTGAAACATTGATTAATATAATTGATGTGTATTTTTATTTATTTTTTGATGACGATGATGGCATCTGACAAGATGCAACGATTATTGCTTGCTTCACATGTTTTTAATGTCTAAATCACTCTGTTGCTGAAATATGCTACGTAGATAAACTTGATTTGACCTTTTTACAGGTAATCTCAGCCGTTTGGTCTTACTTGTTGGGTAAAAGGTGAGGAAGAAGAGAAGAAGTCCAGTAGCCAGGTTCCCCAGGAAGGTGACGACACCACAGGTGACTCCTTCAGGGACCGGGTACACCGTCTCAATGGAGAGTTCGAAGAATATCGGCACGCTGCTGTTAACGAATATGCCAACCAGGATGCAGGAAGTGTAGAGGATGGCTGTGGAGAGACAAAACAAACCAAATAAATCAAAAGAATATATATATATATATATATTTAAAGCAGCACATTAATAAAATTAACCTGAGCAATTCTTTTTGAAAGAAAGATACGAGGATGCAGTTTGTGGAACAGGAGTGATATATTCAACCTTTTCGGGGCTTCCTGCTCCACCATTTTTTACCAGCACCAGATTTATGATGGACCTTCACCACGACACAACGGTCCATTTAGTAAGCGAGACCTCAAGGTGGCAATTTAACAGGAAACCAAAGTACCGTAGGTGTTTTCACAGTAAATGGCTTTCTTTCTCAAACCCAATTCCAACGTGCCTTTGCCCCCTTTCCTCGGCGCGACATGATTAGTTTGTCACTCGAAATGTGTTTTTCCGGCTCAACTTCATAATTATGATGTTTCTCTTTCATGAGTGCTGTCTCAGAAATAATTGGTTGGAGGCAGAAGGTGCAGGAGCTAATAGAACATGCGAGCATAAAACGCAATTTGTTTTTCCACCAAATTGTGTTTTCGGTTTCTTCTTTCTCACTTAAATCTTTAAATAATTCATCTTTAACTTTGGGGAAAATATTCATTGATGAATATATTAGCTCTGGACTCATAATTGTTGCATCTACCTTTAGGAAAAGTTGAGTGAGGAGTGATGTGTCCTGTCCTATTTCTTACTTTCCATCATGGGGGGGATTGTTTGTACCAGTCTGGCATGTCGTGCAACAAAAAACACGTTGATTGCCTTGGCCGACCAATTCGGTTTCAATTTATTTTGCAATATATCACTGGTTTTAGTTCGCCTGCGCACGTCGCATTAAGATGCAGCTGGTATCACGGATCCTACAGTACATTAAAATGAAATTTCTTATTCTTTTGCCAAAATGCACAGGTGTCCACTTGGTTAACAGCTTGTCTCATTTGCTCCTTGTGCACGGTGCGAATGAGCAAAACCAGCTCACAGGAACTACATTCAGCATTTTCAAAATTTGCTGGAACTGTTGGCGGGCGAGCTTTCAATTCGACATCTACCGATTCGGTCCGAGGTGACGCCAATGTGCAAAAAGAAACACACTCATCCCTTCTGGAGCGCCAGAGTTCCCGTTTTCTTCCCAATCTCAGCGAAACGGTGGAAATGACTGTCCCATTTGTCTGCATGTTCTTTTTATCCCAGCTCCTCTGAGGACCATCACATTCCTGAGAACAGGTTTGCTACTGGGAATCCTCTTCCCCAAGAGGCTGCCTTCAAAAGGAGATGTGTTTTCTCTGTACCGGCTCCCAAAAGGTAGGAGGAGACCCTTTGAAGGAAGACGATAACTAATCATCTCTGAGGAACGCTTTGAATATTGTAAGCTGGCGGAAAATGTAAAAAACGAGAACAAGAAAAGAATTTGGAGCTACGGATCTATAAATATCTGTTACATGAAAGACCTGTCTCCATTCACTGCCTTCTCAGTAAGTGAACTGTCACCCCGTAACAAAAAGGTGTTTGGGTTGCATCTAGCACATGCTGAGAAAGAATACCTTGTGTTCCATCTTAGCATATGCAATATTTCTATAGATAATCCCGTTTTCCACCCACTGAACAAAATTGTTCATGTTTTAATTGTGGATTCTGTGTTAACCAATCATTGGAGTGGTTTTCTATGTTGGTAAGTAGGTTTTGAGTCCCAAACCTGTATTTTTGTGTTATTTAAGTATTTAGTTGGTAGTAGGTATGGACTTCTGACTGGTGATAGTCAGTAGAGGTGCACCAATTACATTTTTCTGAACCATCACTGATTTTTTCAAAAAGCCTTACCTGCCGATTACAAATTTTGGCCTATATCAATTTTTTTCTGTCTGAAAAGTCGCCAACTATACAGCAACAAAGTTGCTAAGTTGGCAACAGTGTGGTGACTATTGTTAGCCTCAGACGTGGCCTGCTGGACGGGTCCATCATTAATTTATTGTCTGCTGATTTATACATAGGTGATGTTTAGTACTGACACACAAAATGTAAAAACCACATTGAAACAACATATTTTCTAACCAGAAATGCTTACAGACAATGCTGATGCTGATAAGACATGAACTGTTGTGCCCTTGTCTTTTAGTCTTGAGTCGTTGCTTCCCTTAAAGCTAACTTTCCATTTTTTTTCTAACAGTTGGGGAAATAATGTTTCCAACAGAAATATTGCTTTTGGTAAATGGGGTAATTCAATCCTCCTAAGTGGTTCAATATGACAAAACTAATCAATGTTCTTTGGTGAATTTTGGAGAAAATAAGTGTGCACTCTCCTTTTTATTCCCTCTGAATATTTTTTTTTTCTTTTCGCATGGCATATTAGGCATACAACATGGATATACTACATGCCTACATGTACCAGGGGAGTGTTACTCTAGAAAAAAAGATATTGGGACATATCTGAATTGCTTGACTCACTTTATTAGACAGGTATATTATAACCTGGTTGTATGTACTATAACCTTCAACCATCAATCAGTTTACCTCATTTCCTTTTGAAAGAGAAGTGATTTCTGGATTACAAATATGCTTCCATGCTCTGTGGTTCTAGATGTCACATCATCTATAAGTGATGGGTGTGAGAACAAATGCTTTTGTGTCAGAAAAATGTTTTAACATCCTTTTTATGTTTCTGCTTGAGAAACTGTGAAATGCCCAATTGTGATTAATTTAAGCTTTATACGTTGATGAATGGGATGTTTTCTGGTTGTAAAATATGATGCTTCCTTTTCAACAGAATGCATTAGCTTCTTTGTGTGTGTGTGTGTGTGTGTGTGTGTGTGTGTGTGTGTGTGTGCGCGCGCATGCGACCTTGTTTAGCTGTTCTATTTCAGACCATTTCTAGCACATTTACTAAACCTCTGCAGACCAAAGGGCCTAATTCGGTGTTAGATGTTAGGTTTAGAGGTATGATGTGAGTTTAGTTTAAGGTCAGGGAAAATGTCTGGGTTAGACATAAATGCAGTTACTAAAATGAATGAAAGTCAATACAAAGTTCTAATCTGAGTAGAAATACAAACTCAGGGTTTCCTCCAGAAAGCCTGCTAAGCCCGGTGGTAGGGGGCGCTATAGGGAACACTACCATGTTTTTGTGCTTTAAAAATTTCTTTACTGTTACTGTACAAAAAAATCCCATATAAAATCAAACAAAGCTTAGCCTGGTGTTGATCAAGTAAAGCCTGGTGGCCCGCCAGGCTGATAATACACTAGAGGAAACCCTGAAACTTGTGTGTGTGTACAATCTTAACTATTCTTCTTAGAACTATAATTCCTGGCATATTTACGAGCCTTCTGAAGACCAATGGTCCTTATTGGTACCAAAGCCTAGTGCTGTGGACTTCCCTGTGATTTTTATGGTTTTAGTTAAGAATATGGGTTAAGACTAAGGTGTGAACTGAGTTTAGGTTAGGCTTACGTTTAAGCATGTGCTGGTTATGGTTAAGTTTAGTGTAAGGGTACAGGAAGGCATGCTAGGTGTCACAACGCGATGTCTCGCTGGCATCTTAGGTACGATGCCAGACAAATGAGAACTGGCTGCAGCAGGCTGCCAGTGTCTGGGATAAAAGGACATGAGCTAGAGAGAGAGAGAGCAGATCCAGGGGTTGGGAGAATGATGACGGACGATCGTGATTATAATCTGTGGTTTAGAAATACATGATTATATGCTTATTAGATGGCTTAGGGAAGGGGAGCTAAATCCACTAACATCCCTAAAGGTTGTTATCGCTGATGTGAATTGATTGATAGCTCAGCTTGTGACACCTACTTCCTTTAATCATTTTGACTTTGTACTCCAACACGCACAATGAGACAGTGACTACAGGGTGGAAAATGTGACTAAGCTTCAGTGACTGGAAAAAAAAGAAAGAAAAAAACCCGAGAGTCACCTTGATGGCGATGTTAGCGCGGGCCTACCTGCGGTGACCGGAAGGTGGGTAATTGTGCTCAAACAGGTGAGCGTAAACCACGTCGAGGACAGCGAGGCTCCTGCCAGCATTAGCACCAGAATCAGCTTCAGCATCCCACGGATGGAGTCTGCAAATCTGAGGATCAGAAAAAGGTAAGAAGGGGGGAAAACGACAACAAAACAAAGTTTCCTGTTGTGTAAAAATGTAAAACACCGACTCAAATTCAGAGATACGTACAAGCCGACAAGATTAAAAGGTAGCTGCTCCGGAAACAAGACGCATCCTTCACAAGCACAAGATGATGCGACGCAATTCTTCAGCAACTCAGGTTCCTCTGTGACGAGTGTCAAAATATATTACAGAGGACACGCACTGTTTCGCGGGAAGGATAGATCATTTCCATCTCCCACTTGTTTCTGAGTGCGTCAGTTCTACTTCTCATTAGACTGGAAGACAAAACGCGTCGAGTTGATTCAATTTGTCTCACCAACTGAGCAGGCAAACTCAAGACGTGCGGCATATTAGAGTGTGGAAGGGAAGCCACTGGGCCATATTTACAAAGAGATCTTTCAAGTTTCCAGACTTCTTTCCCGTCTAAACTCATTTCAGCTGGCCCTCTCTTCTCCTCTGGGTATACATATGTATGCTTGAGGAAGATTAGATGAGGCTGGATTTGCCTGTAGCAAAGACAGGCACTAATTGCTTTCATTTCGTTGGTCACAGACGAGATGCAGAAGAAAAGAGGGCTGAACCCGACGAGCAACCCGATACGAGAATAAAAGAACCTGCTGCGAATGATTGATCGGTTCGGCTGGGTGGTGGAGTTCTGTCAATGAGCTGAAAGCGAGGGGATGACAGAAAACAGCCTTTGCGTTGAGAGACACACTGTGCTCCGCCGTGGCATTTTTACAAGACTAATGCCTTTTACGCGTTCTATACGCTGACAAATTAGTTCTGTGTTCTCGTGTGAATGCTTCGACAGCCCGCCGCGACAGGCCACAGAGCTTAACCTGACGAAACACCGAATGGGGAGTTCATGGTCCCGCTCTTGCCAAAACACATGGATCTCTGTTCCGAGCGCACAATCGCACCACTAAAATCTGCATTCGCCATCTGCCGCAGGCTGGCTCGCATCCACAGCTCTTCACGCACTTCTGGTGCCAGAGATGGGCGAAAACATTTCCCCCCGCGGCCCGCAAAAGCCTCTCAACCCTTTGGCGGAGAAGATCACCGACGACCGAGCTGTGTGAATTCCAATCGGCTCGTTTATTCGCACCGAGCAGCTCTTCTCGAACAGTTCCCCGTCTAGCCCCAGAGTACGCTCAATAAAGACGTCTGTTGCTGCTTTTGCTAAATGTCAGCTGAGCTCAAGGGTTCAAAGAGGAGTCAAGGACTCGATGCAACCTGCTGGGTTTCCCCCGATGGAAAACTTTTTAAACTAATCTGAATGATAAACTTGACTGCAGTGTTTGATAATACCAATCAGAATCTATGTTTGATTGGACTGAATTGACTTTTTTGTCATGTAGCTTGAGATGACATGTTGTGAATTGGTGATATATAAATAAACTGAATTGTTAGCGGCTAGCGGCTAGCAACTGGACTAATCAAACCTCAACTAAATAATTCTACGTCAGAGATGATTTAAAACGACGTCAAGGTATGAAAACACAAAGCAGGCATTTTCAACATTCTTTGGAATCAGGAGTAACTTAGTATTAGACATAAAAACTGCAATAAATACAGCGGTTAAGGTTGGAGTATTCTATACTGATCACAGATTTGTCAAAACACAGTACAGGATTTGTGAAGCCTTTAAAAATAAATAAAAATAAAAGAGGACTCCAAATTCTTTTAAAACGTAAAAAGTACTGTTAAAACTTTGTCTCTCTCATGAACCGTGCCATTTGGTAAATTAGGCGACTTAACGAGGTAATATTCAAAGTAAAAGTCAGTATTTTCCATCTTTGTAACAGATTTTATTACCAGCAAACACAACATCATCTAAGTAGCGTCGAGTCAAATTGCATTTTCTGCTCTCCGGTGGATGCAGGCGGGGATGTTATCGTTCAGGCCTGTCCGCTGTGAGTGTGGCAAGCACAGATGGAATAATGTGATGACCAACACGCAATCACAAATCGTCCCTGGTTACAGGCAAAACCTATTAGGCCGAAGCTGATCATCATTTGTATTTGCTCTGTATCGTCTCATGGAGCTGGAGATTTGGGCACCTCGGGCCTCCGTGACGTGCAGGAAAATTACCTGGTTTGCTTTTCTGCCACCCACACGTCTCTGGGGAATTGTAATGGGAGGATAATTGCTGAAGCTCGTTAAGTTGTTTCTGTCGACATTCTTTGTTTCGTTTTAGGAAAAGAAAAAGAAAAAGACAAAGGCGCAGCGTGGAACTTTGAACCCATCAGCTGACTAACAGATACCAGTTTTTCTGCCGCGTGCGTTTCATGACAGGCGCGAAGACTCGGATTGCGGCCGGTTTGACAAACGCCGTCATGAGAGCGCCCACCGGAAAGAGCCAATTTGTAGGTAAACGCTGAGCTCTGTGTTCCCAAAGAGGTTGAAGCAATCCGGGATTAAAAGCAGATTAACGGCTTTCGCTATAGCCGATGATCTTTCTATGATAAACCGGATTACAGACTGTTGCATGAAATCTCCAAAGTTTGGGATATTTTCTATAATCTAACCCTGCTGTGAACTTCTTCTAAACTTTTACAGGGTATAAATATCTTACATTGAAACCACAAGGCACCATAAAACACAATTTTAATGGAAGGAATTAAGTGATCGTTCATTGTAGCAAGAAGACAAGATCAGACATTAAACAAATATAAATCAAAGCTCGTATTTAGATACAAGAGGATGAACAGAGGAAGTCAGTGAAGAAATTAAAATTCTGTTTAGCTCCTTTTTGTTTCATCTCATGTAAAGCAGCTCTTGCAAAACTGTTTTAAAATCAAAGGGCTGTCAAATCGCATCTCAGATTAATTTCTAAATACAGGATCAGTGAGCGCTGATATGGGTAATGAGAACACCAGACTTCTGTGATAAAAAGATACTAAAACAGCAATTCAGCTCTTTAATCATACTTCACTTTCCTTTTTCGCTTCACGTGTAATAAGTCCACGTGATTAAATGGTGGTTAAATGGTCGCTGCATGTGGATGGGTTGCACTACACAGCAAAAACCTTTTGCCCACTACATGTGGTTGAATAAACTTACTTTAAAGTCTAATTTTTATGCTCTTTTCTCATTTTTCTTCAGAATGATACAGCAAGACAAAAAAAAAATCCAAATTAAAATTGAATTTTAAAAAAATTGCCTAGTGTAAAAAATATATATATTTGAGTTGTTGGAAGTTTAATAAACCTCATTAGTACTGAAGCTCCTTCCAGTCCCGTTCAATACATTTTTCCAGCGAAAGAAGCGACGGGGTAATTGCCAAAGCCAAAATTCATTTGAGGTATAAACTACCGCTCCAACGAGAGAGAGTAATTATTCCCTCCCCTGACTCTCAGAATGCATAATCTACACCACAATTTATCAGTTTTGTTTACAAATGCTTTCATCTCGTGCTGCAAACGGCCATATTGATTAAAATCGGGGGGGAGAGGGGGGGCTACGGGCTCATTTCCCTGATTATGACCTAAAGAAAACACCAGAACTGCCCGGAAGCGACGATTGGCTGTCGGCCCGCATCCATCAGAGCATGAACAAGCTCCCCCCCTCCCCCCTTTCGTCTTTTGCAGACTCCACGCTTCGTCTTCGCCGCGTGGCTCTCTATCCATCAGCGGAGGGGGAAGTGGTACTTGCATCAGCATCAATTCCACTCTCTCTTTTGTCACTGGGCTCGTATTAAAAAAGAGAGCAGATGACACGAGGGGGGAAACAAAAGAGACAGATCCTCTTTGTTAAGTTCAAGTGGACGCTCCACTGTTCTTCACGTGGGCCTTATCGCTTGCAACTGATGTTATAAATAATGCTGCTAAAGTGCGGGGAGAGAAGTGGCTCGTCTCACTGGTTAGGCAGCGCAGTGACAGCCGAGGCTCTGGCAAAGAACCCGAACATGTCTTGAATATGTCTTCAGATGACGCCTCACTGACAACCGCCTTTTGTACTTCCGTACTGTTTTGACAGTGTGTCAGCTGTCATATACGTTAGACTCGCAGATGTTTTGAAAGACAAATTTGTATGTTTGCCGTCTCATCTTGCCTCCTAAATTGAAATCCACTTTGTTGCCGTCCATTTCTGTCGCTACCGTTTTCACATTTGGATGGCCTCCTTTACATTTTAGAGAAAATTGACACCAAACCTCAACAACTGCGTTCTTTACAGTTCACCAACTGTAACTGGTGACTTTCCTTGTGCGTACAAAGTGCATCTTTCAGAGAGGGAATAAGCCTGCATCCTCTTTTCGTTGTAGACGACCTTTTCTTCTGAATAACTGGCACAGCACGACATTGAGGATTAGACACAGAATGTGTGTGCAACCGAGCTGCGAATAAGGAGTGCAGCTGTTAATGAGGTGTTACAGTGAATGCTTATTTTCTAATTTAATGCCTCAGTGGCTCCATCAAGTTTCTACTGAGCTGGCTTGTATTAGCTTAATAAACAAACTGAACTGCCATTTAAAAATCAGATACGCGAGAGGCCGGTCGTCTCTCGAGTCTGCAGAGGATTGCTTTTGCAGACCGCGTTCATTTGACGCTTGGTGTTAAAGTCTTGTAGTGTAGATGAGAAGGATGTGCATATAGTGCCTTGCAAAAGTATTCGGACACATTTCTTTCACAATCGCATGTTTCAAAGGCGTATTTTATGTGACAGACCAACACAGAGAAGTGCAGACCTTTTCTTTTTGCAATAAATACAATAAAATAAAATATCTAACTACTGACTTCAGAAATTAACTAATTATAATTTAAAGCATAAATTAATCAAACGTAATTGCCTTTCAGGATACACCTGAAAGGCAATTTCAGGTGTATCCGCAAAAGTTTTTTGGCATTTAGGTTTTGCCTGTACAGATTCTGTGTTTTTCGAGACCATAAATGATTATTTTTGAAACCGGGTTTCAGAGTGGATACATTTCAAAATGCTGCCTTTGTGTTCCTCTTTAAAACGACAAAGTCCCTGTCCTGCAGGCGCCTCATTCTCGCAAGTAACAAAAATGGAGCAGTTTGCTGTTTTTTTTTTTTTTTTTTGTCGTTCTCTGCCAGCGTTACAGCGCCACCGATTGGCCAGGCATACCTACTACATCGTTTACTGTGGTGCTGCTTCCCCTTGTTGTTGTCTGTTGTAACTCTAAGAGAGCTGTGGGGCTCGATGGCTCAGACTGGAGAATCTTTTGACAAAGCTGCCACTCCACAAGTCTGATCATACGGGAAGAATTACAAGAAGGAAGTTTTTGTTTAAAAAAAGGCAGCAGAAGTCAAATTTGCAGGTTGCTACAAGTCATGTAGTGGAGACAGCAAACATTCAGAAGAAGATGATCCAGTCAGATGACAACAAGGACAGTAGGACAACAACACTGATGGACTGGTTTGGTCCATCTGGTGGCGAATCTGTGGTAGAGTTCACTGATGCTCTTGGTAAAATCAGAAAGATGTTGAACTGTTTCTGCGAGACACATTGGCACAAATACCAGTTTCCAGATGTGTAAAGAGACTTATGTTACAGATTACAAATTTAAAAACAACAAAAACCTCGAAAACCTTTTCCTTCCACTTAATTATAATTTAAAGTGTTAATAGAGAAGAGTAGCAGTTTGCTTGTTGAAAATTAGAGCGTCCATCACTCTAGTCATAGTCTTAAGTCTCAGAAGTCTGGACCTGATTGTGCAGCTTTACAGGCTAAATTGGTGTGATGTACAGTAAACGCAGGAGTATTTGACTTACCTGGCCATTGCTATTCCAAACACACATCCGCCAACAATAGACCAGAAACCAATCCAGCCTGCATCCACCTGCAAGCAAAAAAAAAAAGAAGAAATTGAACAGTGGGTTAAAAGAGAAGGTAAGAGAGGGAGGACAGAGCAAGACAGAGAGCGAGCACTAAGTGTTTGAAGCCTACTGAGACCTTTCAGTCACCATGTCAGCTAAATTGCCTAGTCTGACAGTATTGCGCGTGTGTGTGTGTGTGTGTGTGTGTGTGTATAAAGGATTGTTGTCCCGCTTCTATTTAGAGGAATGGAAGCCAGCGCTGGAACATTTGCTCAAAGTCAGGAGACAGGATGTTATGGCCAGGGGACTGTCGGAGAATCAATGGCAGGTAAAATGCTGCATGTGTTGCAAACCTACACACAAACACACAACCAATCAGGGCGAGGCACCCAGATGAAAACAAGCAAGTGCCAGCGGCACCGCTTAGCCTCCCCGGGGCAATAACTCACTTTTCACCAATTCCGACCAGATGGAGGACGACACAGCGAGGGAAGCGAGTCAAAGCGAAGGATCCGGCGCTTTTTGCTTAATCATCCTCGGCGCCCACGTGTCACCGAAGGCAACAATAAATAAAAGTGGACTGCCAAAGTTATGGAACATAAAATGCGTTTTGGCGTAGTGAGTGATGAATGCCTGAATGCCATCAATGCTTGATGTAAATGACTTCCTGTGTCGTGTCCTTCGGATTTCTCAAAACGTAACCGCGTCTTCCAACTCAGACGAGTAGCAAAGATCCAAAAGGAAACATTTTAATCAGGAGGATTATAACTGAACATTTGGGTTCAATGATTACCCAATATTTGTCAATGCAAGCTTGTGGAGCACAATGGAAAGATTTATTTATTCTCTTTTAAATTTGCCCTCATTGAGGAAGCGAAACATAAATAGGCTCCTAAGACATTCCAGTTCCTAAATCTGAATTATGGTGCACCATGAGCGGATGTAGAGTTAATTAACCGCGGTATTCTTAGTGCCTTGGAAGCCTTAGAAAGGGCAGATTTGAAGCCTAATCATCTCTGCTATATTTAAAGTGTGTTAATAAGCTTCAGACGACTGCTCCTGTAAAAAGGTAAATCCAAGGCTCCAGGCTTTACACCGGTTTTCATGTTTGTTGTCTTTAATTCACTCTCTCAATAATCCACTCAAACCAAAAGTCTAAACAAATATGACTACCAGCTCTGTTTCGTTCTCCTAACGGCTTTATGTAATCTTGAAAAGCCACACGTTGAACTCGCAAAAAAGAAAAAGGCAGCTTCTGCGCTCTGGTCGAATTGCACCTTGGAAAACGGTTTGGAGATCGATTCCGAGGGGAAACAAAATGAGGTAATTAAACTAAAAGGAGCTCAGACACATTGGATCAGAGTTCTGGGTGCTCGAATTAAAAATGCATATCCACTAAAGCGGTGAAAGCAGATGACTGATGAGCAAAGTGGAGCACCCGTTTCCTGAAACGTCGTCGTTATGGTGACGGGAAGTTCGGCGCTCAATGGGCCCGTCGACAGGTTTCCTCATACACAGATCCCGCAAATGCTTTTAAAAAAATAAACCTTCAGTATTCTAATACGCGAGCAATCATCGTCACTTTACACATTATTTTGTGCTTTAATGAGGGCTTTTACCACTTTGAAAGAGAAAATTGTGGCTAAGCCCATTTAAGTACAGTCTTATAAACACACCTTGCATATCTACGTCCTATGATGATAGTAGTAGACCCCAAACCATTTCATGGATTTTTTTATTTTTATTTTTTTTTTTTTTTTTTGCAATGCAACTCCAAATTATGTGTGAAAACTTTGCCCATTCGGGGATTTTATCCATGGAAGATGTCAAAAATATTCAAAAGAAAATCCAGCTTAGGAATCGCAAAGCTGCTTGAAAGGCTATTGGCTGGCGTTTGCAAAGCAGCCAATCAGGAAGCGCCATTCATTGTCCTTTGTGCCGAGAGGCGACGCCTGGTTCACGCAGCAAGATTTTAAAATGGTCTGGTGATGTTCAAAACCCGAGACACCTCACATATGACGATAGAAATATCATCGGTAAAACAGGTTTAGTCCCACGCCGAGTATAATAATGACAATAAACAGATTTCACTCATGAACGTTCAAATAAACATGGCCGACGAAGAAGAAGCAACGGGGACAGCTTGTTAACCGTTTTTATCAAGAGAAAAGACAATACAAAAGGACGTCTCCAAAGTCCATCGGACCTTTTTGGCATGCCATGGCAGAACGTTTTGTGCTTTTATCTTGTATTTTGAAGAGAGGCGTTTCCATCACACCGCTTTCTGATTGGCTACACGTCACATGTTCTTTTGAGCCGCCTAGATCACTCTTACACACAGCAGGAATATCTTTAGAGCAGTCATGGTCATCAGAGCGTACTTGAGATGTCAGAAGGGGAAGATCAGGTCTAAATCTGGCATCTGAACCATCAGTGGTAGAGTCTACTGCGAGTATTGACACAATAAGGCATATTTGGTGTTTGAGCTATTAAAACACGCAGTTATAAAGGGGCCTCAAGTATTTGTTGTGGCCCCTAAATCCCATGAATATCAGGTGTTCACTGTATGTTCATTACCTGCAAAACCTGGCTAAAAATGATTAGATTTGGCAAGGTGAGGCATCGTCAGTGTAGCTGCAGGGAATAAGCTGATGGGTGAAGAAAAAAAGAAGCACTTCTTTAATTAATGGCTACACGATTTGTGAAAAACAACGCTCGTTGAGAGACTAGTATACTCTCCAAACACCTTAGCTCCGTCTGAAAATCTTGCTCTTGTTCGTGTAAGACAGCAGGTACTTATGAGACCAAAACAACAAAAAACTTGCTTGTTATTAATTTTCAGGGTTCTCACATCCCTCTTGGTGTACCATCCACCAGCCGCTAGACTTTTTATTTATTTATTTTTTATTTTTTGCCTTTGCTCCTGTGCTTATCGCTTGCAGAATCAATTTATGCAACTTGTTAATCTGTTTGGTTGCATTTCCAGGTCATTTAGTGGGATCTTACATCTCAAGATGACAGCAGAGAGACCAGAGCTACTTTGTCACCATTTCTCTCCGGCCTCGAAGTCGGGACGTGTGTTTTACATCTACAGGAGATTTTGCACAAAATGATCCGGCCTGTTTTATTTATTTATTTATTTTTATTTTTAGAAGCAATCAAAATATACACATAGAGAAACATCCAGCAGCAGCAGCAGCAGCTCCCGTGTTATCTGGTGTTAAATTGTGAAAAAGATTGATTAAATAACTAATGGACGTACTTCAAGGAAAGCTGCCTAATCAAATGCAGGTGGAGTATAAAATATTACTGACGCCTGTAAAGTGGATTTCAACAGTAGTGAGAGGTGGAGGAGAGCAGAGCATCAGGAACCACAGCAGCTCTGCCTGCCACTGGCTCCAATGGCCAAAGAGACAAAGTCACACACCTGTTAGTGTGGAGTGTGTGCAAGATTCACGGACTGGTATGAGAGCAAAACAGTTTAGCCCTATTATCGCATTTACACCAGAAATGTGTGACACAGTCTAAATACTTTTATTTCAAACTGAAAAGCAATAATTATTCCAGCAAAACATTTTCTTATATTTATGAATATTTATGATTTTTCTGTGGGCACAAGCAAGGAAAAGTCGTCTATGTTAGAAGTGCAGCATAAATAAATGTTACTTAAAAATACGAAGGGTGACAGACATGATGCCTGTACCGTTTCACAGGATGTCTATGTGATGAGCATTTATCTGCATAGTTTGTGGATCTGAACACCTCTAAAGCTTTCACTGACAGACAGACAGACAGACAGGATGAAATGTCGTTGGAATACGTAAGCCCACATTGGGCTTCGCACAAGATGTCTAAATATGATCTTTTATTCATTCAGACACCCCCAAACTGTCACTAAACAAACATTTCAGCTTGTTGGTTTTTTCTTTCCCCTGACTGCAATACCTGTCCTTTCACTTCAGCAACCTCCGCCCTTCTGCTCCCTCGTTTGTCCTTAATGAAATACAAGCACAGATTCCAGCAATAAAGTTCACGCAAAGCACTGACGTCAACGAGCACCGATGAAAAGATTGAGGGGAAATGAAATCTAGGGAACGAACTTGTATCCTTCTCTGCGGCTTCCCGAGAGAGAGAGGCACAACGCAGAGGTGTGACAAGAAGCGTCTCATCCTCTGCTCTCCTGTGTGTAATTTCCCCACAAGCAGCACCTGTCTGATGAGAACCTCAGAATAATGCTTGTTTTGACATGGGTGGAAGGCAGGCAGGTACAAATCATGCAGAGTGTTTTCCTCCGAGCTGCACAACAAACCGTCCCCTAACTGAACGCGTCCAAAACACTGGCAGCGGCAGGAAAGCAAAGACGACAATCTGACAGGTACGAGAAATGTGAACAAATAACCCAGCAGGAATAACATTAAGACAAGGACACGCAGTGGAACTGCGGAAAAGTTCCCTGCTATTAATTTATTTATTTTTTTAATAATTGACATTTTAAAAAAACATGAAAAATGGTGCACTTTGGCTCAGAAATCAATCTGAAAATCACCGTCTGTTTAAATTCAACACATTTCTTGTGCTCAGACTTGGAAGTAATAATTTGGATCTTACCTGGCTGACGTTGGCTGGAGTCAGAACCATGTCCAGGACTCCAGACCAGCCGCCGATCACTCCAGTGGAGACGGCGTAGGCCAACGCAATCATCAGGAAACGGAAGTTACTGCAGGCGAGAAAGGAAACGAGTCAAGCCTGAACACAGAGAGCTCACAGTCCCTGGAAATTCACATTTTATTACTCATTTCATTTGCAGTGTCTAAAAGTATTTAACCATTCAGGGCATAAAAAAATAAATCTGTCTCTCCAAAGAGTCAATGAGCTGCAGCTCTAGTTGTATCTCATAAAAGTATTGGTTAAAAAAAATGTAAAATTGAAAGTTTTACATTATTAAATGCTTGTCTATTAAGGGAAGTGATCAACAATAGCAGGCTCGATGTATGTAATGGTTAACTGTATCAACAAACATTTTTATTAAGTCACAGTTTAATTTTTTGTTTTTTCTGTCAAACCTTTATTTTTGTTTCAACGCATTTCAATTAAATATTTTCAACGTATTTCAGCTGAAGGAACTGGAAAACTACAACTACATGGAGCTCAGAGTCACACAGGATGGTCCCTCCCCCACCTGTTGCTTCGCAATTTCCAATTAGCATACTAATTATTTTACTTTAAAGAAAGGACAACATGTCTCCCAGCTAAAAACACTAACTAATGGTTTCAATACTAAAGAAGTTGTAGCCATTATTCTTATGAAGGTAACGTTGCTGTAAAATGACAAACAGCCTGTCCAGCTAATATAGGAGCAGGAGGAGAAAGCACAACATTTACCGCGACACACACCTTAAAACACCTGCTAAATTTAACTTAAATACAATTCTATATCTGTATGTATGCTTTAAATTCAAATATTAAATAAATGCTACATATAAAATGACTAATTCTAATATAAGGAGGAACAATCTTTGTTTTTCTTAGTGTTTAGCCTGATCACCTTTATTCAAATATTTCTGCCAATATTACCTTAAATTGTTGGTATTTTTACTAGATGTTTTCATACCGTAAGAACTTGACATTATTGAAACAAAACAAATGATTGTCTCTAAGGAAACAGGAAAATTGATCAAATGGCAGTGCCAGTGGATCTTTCACCCTTTAATTTTGTTTATAAATTACGTCACGATCAACATTTTACTATTTTATCTTGCATGTTTTTATCAAATTGTCGTCATTTTATCAATCGATCGTAATTTGACCGTCATGGTCAATTATAAAGACCTTCCAGAGAAACGAACTGGACTGGTTTGGTTTGGCTTATTCCCGTCTCATTAAAATAAATAAAACTACCCAACAACAGCCACAATGATAGTCTACTGGTGCCGCGTTGCAGGATTTAACACAAACTCTGCTGTTTACCGTCGGTGAAAAACAAAACCAGCTCCCTAATAGCTTAAGCGTGCCCACTTCACTTTCCTCTTTCGGATCGTGTGACACCTCTCCACTCATGTGACACCTGAATACAATCACCAGGAACACAAAAATCTAATCTAATCACCTTTACCCAGTGAGGTGGCAAACTAATTTAAAAATCAGAGCCACCTACTCGGCCCAAACAATGCGATTAGAGACACTAAGCGGCTGACAAATGAGGCAGGGCCGTAGCAGAGCAGGCGGCAGACTCGAAGAGTTTTTCCTTTTTTGTTTTGTTTCACATACCAAGTCGAATATTTATTGAACTGTACTTAGCAGAAGAAAGACTGTGGCTTAAATGTTGCGGGCTTTTTTTTGAGAAAATGTGCACACTCTTTCTTTCGGTCTGTGTGTGTGTGGACCTCGCATGTTGTTTCACTTCAAAATAGCGAGCGGAAAACTCCGGCTCTCTCCCTGCTGCAGATTCTGAGCAACACGAGGCTCCTTGGCCTTGGTGGCAGCGTGGCGGGACAATCATAAAAGCCCTCTGATGGAGCACTCTGTGGGCTTTTTTTCTTCCTGAGCACCCTTTTCATTAACCTTGCCACAACAGCGGAAAATCAATACCCAAGCACCTTTATCTTTATACATGACCTTATATAGACATCCAAAGGAAAGCGGGCACATGCTAGGTATGCTTTAACTTTCCAGTTTTTGGCAGTGATGAAATACCTCTGCAGGAGTCTCCAAGGAGGTCTCAAAAAGAGGGTGTCATCAGCTAAGTGCCATTTGTCCTTGGCCCAGCAAGTTGGAGACAAATGCATCAAGATGTCAACTTTCAAAGCTAAAGAGTGTCTGACCGGAAAGGAGGGATGATCAATACTCGTGCTTTTTATTTGGTCTGTGGAGTTTGATCTCCCAGAGGCAAAAATGGAGAGGGGGTGGGGGGAACACACACACACACACACACACACACACACACACACACGCACACACACACACACACACGCACGCACACAATGCAAAGACACAACCAGGGTTTTAATTAGGCGGCTGCTGTGGAAGCAGATGTGAGCGACTGGAAGCTCTCGTCAAGCTGAAGATCATTAGCGTGTGCTTAGATCTTGACAGGCTAAATGGATGAGCAGATACATCAGTGGGAAGGTGTCAGGAATACTAAGTGATCTGCTGTGCAGCACCTGCCTTCAAAGTTACTATGTGCACTCCTACATTTTTTCATTTCAAGATTCAAACATCGGTACCCCCAGCTGTTGGAGAGCTCTCCCGCCACGGCTGGCCAAGAAAAATATTCATCGTGAATTAACGGTTGTTTATGTCCAACTTTTCGACCGGCTGAAAATAGACTTAAAATGCAAACGTGCACAAGTGCAGGATCAACCACCTAAGAGGAGTTCGACATAGATCTCAAACCAGCAGAGGTTGTACTCTCTAAAGCGTTCAAGTTATGGAAAAGTGGCAAACGGAAAGCAATTATTGAAAGAAAACCATATAAAACTCCAATGGAAAGTTTTCTCAGGGCGTGCAACAAATGAAGCTGGACCAGAAATATTCTTCTTTAACGCACATGCAAAACAAATAAGATGTTTAATCTCACCAAGTTTCTATCCTGGTAAAATAAATGTTAGATGAAAAAATGAATCCAATCTCAGTGAGCTTTCGCTATTTTGCACAGACGAATGGGCAGGAATTCCCCCACATGTACCAAACGAGTAGAGACACCTTCATAAAAAGCCTCAATCCAATCTGACTGAGCTTCAGCTACACAAGAACAGCTAAAGATTTAGATTCTGTCACATCGTGTTTAGATTTAGTGAAAATGTGGCGAAATACAAACAAATGACCAACTTTTAGAGTCAATTTTAGCAGCAGAAAAATCTTGGCTATTCCTTTTCATTACGGTTTTTTTTTGTTGTTGTTGTTGTTTAATTACAAAATATCCAATATAGACTGAAGCAAAACATGAAAACATGTAAGAGGTAGAAATTATGGATGCACTAATCCATTTGCCGACTGACAATGCCAGTTGCAAAAAAAAACAAAACCAAATAAAAGAGTTATCAGCTAGAATCAGAATGGGCAGGCCACCCATCATGACTGCAGCAGAACCTCGAGTTCCCATTCATAACCTCATATAAACGTGTACATCTCTGTCCAGAACCATCCCCCTGGGTTTCTATCTGCTTGGTCTCTGTCATCCATCAACAGCAACGCCCACGGTGGGGAGGGGGGGCGCTGAGCCTCTCTGAGCTGGTCACAAATCCAGGCGCCACAGTGGAGTGATTTCTTACTCAAGGAGAACAAATGCAGCCAAGAAAAGTTAAGCCAACTCCCCGACTGCTGTGGCCCGGCTTGTCTTCTTCCCTCTCCAGCCTTTATTCCCCGGCCACTGCTGCGGGCGTCATTCCTTAACAAGCCGAGCACCGATTCTCAGGCGCTGCTGCTTCCTGGTGGCCCAGGGGGATAAACTTGGCCTTGATGGAAAGTGTGATGGTGTGAAGAAACGGGAGAGGGGTGAGGGTAGGAAGGGGGGGTGCAGAGGATTATAATAAAGTGTGATTCAATTTTACCTCCTCTTTGAGTCTCTTGTGGGTGGAAATAGACAAACAATAAATAGATGCCACTGACTTCCAGGGCCTTGTCTTAATAGACCATCTCTGTCTAAACATTAGACGCGTCTCTTGGGAGTAATGCTTATATGAAAACAGCAACTACTTTATCATCCGTTAAGAATCTAGAGGGAGGGCAGGCGAGGTTCTCCGACGACTGCTTTGATTTGGTAACAATGGCCGCCATCCATTGCCGGACTGGCTCCTTTTAGGAGCCTCTGGCATCTGCAAGTGAGAAGCCAGACAAAACTTTGAAGCTTCACCCAAGCATCACCCACCGACCCCTGACTGAAATGAGGCCATGAAACAATACAGCAGTGGAAAAGCAGTTTTCTGTGGAAATGGATCTCAACAATCACAGGCACAGGGTAAGGAGATGTTGCAGACGAGGTGTGGGCAGGTCTGTGTTTGCCGTCTGAGCATGAGGAGTTTTTACCTGAGGAGTCTGCAGATGCTGCTCCTGTAGCTGAGCCTCTGGCTGGCCGCGGCCACACTGGGGGGCACGGGCGGGCGCGACGGGAAGTAGAGCAGCACGGCTACAAAAAACAGCCCGATCGCCGCCAACTCTGCCACAGCACAGAGACGCTGAGAGTTAGTTTCACAGATACAGTAAAACACTCAACAATGTGACTCTTTTTTTTATTTTTTTTTTTATAAAAAAGGTCAACATGACATCTCTGAAGACCCTTCACTGAGATAAAGTTGTAGACTAGAAGGCATGACAGTGAAATGAAAGTGTCTGACAATGCCGTCTGGTTGACACTACAACCCGCTTCTCTTGGGGACGTAATCCGGTTTACGCTTTTGGGATCAAGAATGACGGAAAAAATGCACTGCCATGTTATTTTTCTGTCACTGCAACGTGGAGGAAAGGGTGAAACGTAAGTTGTTGTTTTATTCTAATTTTTTTGACAGCGGAAAGGAAGAGCAGTCTCACACTTTGAAGTTTGTATCATTCTAACATCTACTTACTTTGTTGGGCTTTTATGTGATAGCTAAGGTTGTACCGATATAATATTGACATCAGAGAACGGTCCAATATCAACCCCCCCAAAAGAAGTATTGGATCATATTGACCTGCAACTAAAACCTCAGCATTTAGTCCGGCCCGCATTTCTGTTCAGCAGTGCCTGTATCCTACACACAGACCAACTGGTTAATAATAATCGATCAGTTTATACATACTGTTGTTGACTATTGTTTTCTGTTTGAGTAACTAGGCTTTTCTAACATGCCACGCTACAAAATACGTAATAAAAGGAAGCATAGTTGGTGCTGATGCTGAGTCGGTTCAATATTCAAAGCTGCAATATCAGACACCTGTGGTGATAGCCCAACACAAAGTAATATAAACCTGGAGCGAGGGGAAAAAACATGGATGCATTACTTATTTTATTTTTTTAAACAAATAAAAACTCCTGCTTCTCATTTAAGTGTCCGGGTCAACTTTCTGGCGCACCCCCAGCTAACAAGTCCTTTTTCCACAAGTTCCAGTGACAAAGTCATGAGCAGCTTTTGAACCTTTAACACCAGGCTTGAAACTTTCCTTACAGCTAAAGCAGCCAAGGTCATCCTGAGTCGACTCTGGAGTTTTGTTGCTACAGGCTGAGGCGGCCGGAGGAAAACTGAACACCTCTCCTCGCTCTGCTACATTGTTTACCTTCTCTCCAATTAGCATTTTTTGCTGTTCTTCCAACTTCAACTTTCAACTAAAACTTTCCTTAGACAGGAAACTTGAAAATTCTGAATAGAATGATCTTGACTGCATTGTTCAACAACTAAGATCAACTTTTATTCTGATAAGTCATAAGTGCATTAAAGTGCAAGCTGAAGAGTGACAGAATAAGATGTAAGTTTTGTTTGTCTCAAAATGACCTGGAGTCATTTAACATAGAGTTCAGCTGGAGAGACTTCAGACTTATCATTACTCTGCATCAAACATAAACATTTCGCTATAAACCATTAAGTCCGTGAATGTCACCGGCTAATAAATCAAGCGCACCCTTTCGTAGGAAAATATAAGCGTCGTCTGTCAGAGCTCCAGTCTGCTACTTGCTTTTACGACTGATCACACCAGGGAAAGACCGTCGAGTGTCAGACAAGCTATTTCAGTCAAGCCTCTTGTCTATAAAGCACAAGTCAAATGCTACGTTCACACAGCAGATCTTGATGCTCAATTCCAATTTTTTGCAAAACTTTGATTTCGCTCATATTTAGCAAAGGCGCGATCGCAGTATGACTTCTGTGTGTGAACGATTTAGGACCCCAAAGTGACCCACATTCGCAGGAGAACGTAGACGTTTCCAGGAGGGTAATGATGGATGCTGCCATATATAGATCAATTTTATAGCAATAGGAGTCAACAGCGCTCTCACACGAGACGACGGACGCTAATAAACAGAAAAGCACAACTAATAGCAATGGCCTTTAGTCTGTTTGGATGTGGAGTCAGAGGCCAGAGTGGTGGGACTGTGACACGATGCACTTCATCGTCGTTCAGAGTTTTATTACTGGAATGGACTCGCCACATCTGGTTTCTTCTGGTGCAGATTTATGACGCATGTCAATGACGTAAAAGTTGGACTAAATGCAATTTGGCTGTTCTGACTGCAGACGCTTTGAAAACAATCCAATACGCATCCAGTTTAGCATCACATATGAAGTGGCACAAATCACATTTTTTCTCTGGGAGAAAAGATTGAGGGGCTCAGACTCCCATGAAAACCTTGGAAATGGGGTCACATTTTCCTGCTCTGCCCTCTGGGTGAAACTGCAGCTCGACTTTGACACTGAAGCCTGATCGACAATCTCTTGTTTGGGACGATGTGCAGCGGTCAGTTTTTTTTTTTTTTTTTGGTTGGCCAAACGTCTAATACTGATCTCGTCTCATCAATTAGCCTTTCATCCACATGTTTGTTTTGCTCCCTACGTAGCTACAGACATATTACAGATGGGACTTCTTACAGTTTCTTTTCACTCTTCCATAGGAGTGAACTACGAATATTTCCCTGTTGGACCTCAAGTAGGAAATCTTTCTTTCCTTTTCATGACCTTCAAGAACTTCCAATTGATAAATTATGTCTGCTGTGTCCTTCAAAAATTAATAACACTAACTTAGATTAAACAAAGCCGCTGCTACAGTCTATTACAGCATGCTTGTTTCTCTTTTCATCATGCTTTTAATTTTCTGAATCAGTTAAGCATAACAGTCCCAGCAAGCTATTTTTCAGAGGCACAGTTATGAGGATTATAGCTGGAGCTCTTGGCGTTTGTGTAAGATTCTTGAAACCCTGTTGCCTGATTGTATTTCTGTCCCCTGACGGCGCAGATACGATGTCGAAATAATGTGCCATCGATCGCGCGTGCCTTCCCGAGCTTCTTGCTCTCCACCCCGTACCTGCATACAAAACCAGCTGGATTCTGTTCCGGATGAAGGCGGTGGACGGCGGCGCGGCGCCCGTCTGGGAGTTGTTGGGAGCTGGAACGATGAGAGGTCCCACTATGAACGACGTGGCGCCTCCCAGGTAGGAGAACAGAGAGGCCACGGCTGTGGCCGTTGCTCTCTGGTCGGGGGCGAACCACGTGGTGGAGAGGTACGGCCCGGCGCTCATTATGGTTGGCCCGGCCAGACCGTTCAGAAACTGGCCTCCATGTATTAACCTGCAACAGAAAAGGTCAAATATGGTGATTTCAAACATGCATTTGGGCCACGCTATATCAAGAAAACATATAATTGCTTCGCTTTTGATGAATATTCCAATGATGACATCAATTATGTTTAAATAAAACTCTTCTGACTCTTGTCTTTGATCAAAATGTCCTCACTTTTTGAGCTTTAGCAGCAGAGGCACCAAAAACATCCATCCAGTCAGTGAGAGTCTGTCCTAAAGGTTAAATATATTATCGACAAGCAGAGTTTAGAGGCAACCAGACATTGCATCCAAACAGTCCTGTGTGATTATAGTATTGCACACATTCGGTCATTTTCAAAGAAATCCAACTACCTGTTTGAAAAGACTTTTTTAAAAGCAGAAATCCTACAATAAGAAACAACAGTTATTTTTAACAAAAGCACAGTTGCATCACCCTTGGAACTGTCTTTTGTCAACAGGACGGCCATTAGCAGGACAGTTTGTAACGTCTGAGCAGTAAAGAGGATCTCTCACCAGTCCTCTTTGCACCGTCCCTCTGGATTGGCCACGGTTTCTAGCCTGCTCTCTTTTCTTCAGCTTTGTTAAAGTTGAAATGTCTTGGTATTAAAAAGAACTTATGATGCCATACATAGTCTCATTCTATCGAGGAGAGCCTTTGGAAGAGACTCACAAAACCGTTTTTGAGTCTTAGAGGGTGAGAAGGAGAGATATGTTCTTAAAATTTTAAGCTTTTGGGCATACAACAACAAGACCTTTACAACAAGTTTGTCCTCAATTAGTGTTTTCAAAATAACGTAGATTTTAGACATAGTTATTGTAAACTCACAGTTGTGAAAGACTACTTTCTGAGGAAGCACAAAAGCAGCTCATCTTTTTAGGTTCAAGACAGAAGAGCCACAAAATACCAATTAGACATTTCTAGAAACAAATCTGAAAGAAAAGTTAAGCAGAAACTGAAACAATCTTTAGCTACTTTTATTTTAAAGGAAATGGCAGGAGCAGTAATAATTCTGTCTCCAGCTATTCTGCTAAAATATTTCTTTTTCTTTAATATTTATAGGATTCCCCCCCCCCCACCACCAAGGCACGCTAAGTGTGAAATTAGGTAACCGTAGTAAAAGACTAATTACTTTTTGTGCTTGTTACACATCTTCACCTGAGACGGCGGCAATACATTTCTCAACGTCTGTACCGCTAATAAACATCCAGGCTAAAGACGGCTGCACCATACGGCGCTCCATCGGTGTACTCATGAAATATAAAGTAAACAAATGAAGACATGCAGTAAATTATTTGTTTATGAGCGTCTAACAGAAAAATGGCAAGCGAGGGAATTAAAAGAAGCAAGGTGTAATTATCTCCAGGGATTAGTTTAGCAACTGGAGTCCAACTTTCAGTCGCACTTTCGCACCTCGAGACCCAGCTGTGCGAGACGGATGCATTGTGAGATATCGCCCCCACCCGATGCCACCGGAGCCCCTCGCCGCCCTCGGCCCCCTCCGGACCCGTCTGACGGAGACAGCCAGCCGCTGGAGACAGCTCACGGCTGATTGATTGTCTCTAAGCTCAGTAAAGACACCGTTCATTCACAGCAGTCTGAGGTGGCTCAGCGGGGACTGAGGCGGGAAAGGAGGGGAGAGAAAATCATGGCAAACAAAGAGGGGGAGGAGAGGAGATCCTACGCTTATGTGGAGATTTTGGAGACTCAAAAATATGCAGCAAGTTTTCCATCAGAATGGAAATTTGACGATCAAGAGAGTTTAATAAACTTTATTAAACTGATTCCTTTGGCGATGAGCCTATATATCAGGGATTTATACATTCAGCTTTGGGCAACCACTGAGCGAAAAGACATAGTCTCATTCAATTTCTATAAATCTCACAACTATAAAGGAGAGTTTTTGCTACCAGCATTGCCCCCGTGATAAGTCATGTAGCTCCAGACTCTAAAGAACAGCAGGCTTGTCATTGGCTCGTAAAAGCCTCATCTTCACATTCCTACTAATTGTTCTAATACTAATTAAATGTCACACATAAAGTTGCACTAAAATAAAGCATCAGGAGGCTTTATTTTGTTCAGAACTGTCATTATCACATGCTCTCACCTCTACAAGTCTGTGTTCACCATCTGATCTCAGGATGTGGACAGGTTTCTTTAAAAGTCACAATAACTTTCAGTGACCTGCATGTTCAGACAGGAACATGTTCCACTTTCATCTGATTCACATAATTCGCTAAATTACTATTATTATTTTTCAGGTTTTATGTTTCTGAAGTGTCTGTCTAGCTTTTGAGGTACCACTATCTTGCAGATCTAAGCCTGTAAACTGTGAATTGTAAATTTGTAGAATTGTGTGTGTTACTGTGTTAGCATGCAGAACGCTACTTTTGCTGAAACATCTGAATTTATTTTTCTCTCCATATTTAAAAATTCCTTGAATGTCTGGTGATGAAGGTCTATTGCTCTTCACAAAGTAGTCATGAAAAGGTAAAGGATTGGAAGGCCATCCTAGCATTCAGCACAACCAAAGTGAGCAAACCTTCCTTGGTGTAGACAGAGCACAGGCTTAATGTATGATGGTATTAAGTAGCATTATTATGGCGTTTTTCCACCACCTGCAGATAGCACTTGAAGGAAGTTTGATGATAGTTGACCATATTTTTGGGTTGTATGTTGTCTCTGAGTTGTGAGGGTGATATCTGCTTTTTTTTCCTGACCTCTCCAAAACCATCTGTCTGACTGAACTGGTGATCAAATTAGACGAGCGAGGCTATATGATCCTTAAAAATTAGATGCTTTAGACTTTAGCATCCATTACCTGTATGTAATATTGCAGCTTTGTTAGTAAGGTGTATTTATAGTTTTGAGAGATTTTTTTTTAAAATTGAAACTCGGTTATGGTTTGGAATTTGTTGCATTATCAAGATGCGACTTGAAAGACCACATCAGACCCACCAAAAGCGTCAAAATTACACATTTATACAGACAAAAAATATGTCGTGGCAAATGTTAAAGTTAAAAAAGCATGCCTGTTAAGTTGCTGGTGAAGTTTTAAAGTTTTAAAGAGGAGCAGTAAAAACCAAGAGTGGGACGAGTGGAAAAGTAAGGGCCACAGAGTAATCGAGGAGGTTCTGATGAGTGGGTTGGGATGTCAGCGGGTCTAAGATGTGGGAAGAAGATATAGGGTGAATAAGTTTCTCTCCTAACAGTCTGCCTCTGACCACAGCTCTTTATGGTCTGCTGTGACACATTCATCTGTGGAGCCTAGAAGCTGTGGACAGTAATGGTAGAAAGAGCTCAAATAATTGCATGTGAAACGAAGTGTACATTTTGCAGACGATTTTGTCAGGTGTCACGGTTAAATGTTGCCGTCATCAACTCCGATACTCGTGATGCACCCTCCACCCCTCTATGAAGTGTTTGCTCAGCCGCAGCAAAGTGAATATAAGGGTTTGAATGTTGCACCTCTGCGCCGCAACTTTGACATCCAAAATGGCTATTTAGGCATTTGCATCTCTAAAAACAACAACTACAACAAGGTGTTGATTTTAAATGTACAACATAGGTATTTTTGCTTCCCAAAATCAAATGTTCAACTGAGTTTTGTTGTGACTTGCTAAATGCAAAGCATTGACTTATTTTAATAGCTGATTGATTGGTTCATCATTAATAATAAAGTTATTGAATTCACAAAACCCTTGTGGTAAAGCTGGGCACATTTGCTGCAGCAATCTAGTAAAGACATTAATTGGCAAAAACTAAGTCAGGAAATCTATTAAAAATTTACATCATCATTGCTTTATATTTAAGATAATTTTACTATTTATTACAATTCAGATTGCTGAAAACGTGTTAACCTATTTATGAAACGAGACGCGGTGTGAAAAAAGAAAGACAGTCGGGGGCATTAAGTTGATGGAGGACACACTTTGCCCTCTCTGTCTGTAACTTTCCTGACTGTGCTACTTGACGCTCTCAGTGTGTAAAAGCTAAAAGTCCAAGGTCCCCACCTGAACCACTTTGTCCCACTCAAAGCTTCGAACAAAGCTGCTTCAGGACTCTGAACCAACGACCAGCTGCCTTGCACCGTTTCTTCTTGTTGTTGTAAACTCAACAGACAGAGCAGGCTTGGCTTTTCGTGAGGAGCCAACAAACACAGGAAATGTGGAGAGGCCAGTTCAGTCAGAGCTCACGCAGCCTCACCAAAAATAAGGCGTTTTGTTAAGAAGAACGACAGAACCAACTCACTCTTTAGAACCTGAACTCACTTCTCTTTCGTCCTTGATTGCGACGGTTTAACCCTGTCGAGGTTTTCAGTGCATCACCTTTTTCTTTCTGTCGAGATTCAGACATAAACCTCTTTGATTTTTGCTGCTAATGATTTTAAACCTGATGGATTGTCTTTATCTTTACCTTTGAAATAAAGAAAGAAAGAGACTCCAGGTAAAATAAGGTAACATCTGTTCATATCAATGTGATGTACTTTCTGTTTTTGATTAATCTTACGGTTAGATCGGATTGGATTATTCTAAACTACTTTTTCTCAGACTGGGAATTTTTCCAGTTATGATTTAGATTTATTTTTGTGTTATTGTATCAAACTTGTGTGACGTGAAGTTTGCGTCAGAAAGCCTCGTCTTGTGGGGTTCCTCAAGCTTCAGTTCTGGGCCCTAGTCTTTTCCTACTCTGTGTGCATCCACTGGTGACATCCAGCTCCACTGGGTTTTTTTTTCTTTTCTTTTTTTTTAATCTCGATTATTCCGAGTTTCATAAATTGTCTAAGTTAATTTAGTGCATGTCGGAGTTCCCAAAAAATGGGTTTAATGGCCATTTTCTCCTGCTAAATGAATATAAAACAGAGCCATTGATCCAGCAATATCTCAGTTTTATAGGCTCCTCTGTTAAACCGTGCCTCAGTAATTTGGACAAGCCAATGGCTGCGCTGGATGTTTAAGTCAGAGGATTTATCACCGCAATCTGTGACACCAACACCTGAGAATCGACTC